AACCCAGGGGGCGGCAAACTCATTAGTCACAGAGCCAGATATCAACAGGACAACAATTGAAATTCCTTTTGAGAGCCAAATTTTTTAAAACTTAAACTTCTTTTAACACCACTTCTTCAAAATAGACTCGCCCGGGCCGTGGTATTTTGTGGAAGAGCCACACTCAAAGGGCCAAAGAGCTGCGTGTGGCTCGAGAGCCACAGTTTGCCTACCACAGCCAACAAATCTTGCTCAAGGTGGTACACACCAATCAAGGGCAAGGCCAAGGTCAAAACTGACACTCCCGCCTGTGCTGCATGGTGCCCCGTTTCCCTCCCCAGAGGCGGCAGGCAGGGTGTTGGGTGGTGTGGTGAGATCTGGTCGCCCAGCCCCTGGAACAGAGGGGCAGCTCCTGTTCCCACCCCCCTGGGACACGCCTCCTACTCCAGCGAGTGCCCCAGCCAGTGTGGTACTGGGCGAAGGCCCACCCATCACCAGTGGGGTGGTGCTCGGCTTCCCTCTGGACACACCGCTGGGACAGGCCTGCGGCTTGGGGCAGTGTCTCCACAGCCCTGCGTGACCAGCGGCTGTCCCGGCTATTTTTGGTTTGTCTCCAGCGGCTGGGAAGGATTTCGCCAGCACCCCTCCCGAGAGGCCGGGGACATGTGTGGTAACACTCAGTGTCATCAGAAAACACCGGCCCCTGGCTGTGTCCCCACTGGCTCTGTGCGGGTCCTGCTCTCCGGCGCCCTCTCTTCCCCTTCTGTCACCTGCTCTGTCCTTGGCTTGCAAACTGTTCCAAAGACCCACACATGCAGGCCAGCCATACCAACTAGCACATGCCTGAGCTGTACAGACTTCGGCGTGCAGAGGGAAGCCGCTTTTTCTCGATGAAAAGGGAGAAAGGGGCAGGCCTGTTCCCAGCAATGCTTCCCTCGGAGAATCCTGGCAGAAGGCCAAGCACAGCCAGCCTCTAATGAGTTATTTCCCCTCCCCTCATTACTCCGCCTACTTCCCATTAGCAATGGAGGCTAGGAGAGCAGAGCTAAGGCAAGATGCCAACTCAGCCGCCAGGACCCTCTAACCACTGCACCTACCTGGCTACTTTTAAAGGCCCAGCGACCCCAGAAACCTGCCCCCAGTCTTTCCCCTGCCTCTCCTCTCTCTCACACCTTCTCTTTCCCCTGCCAAGACCCCAGGAGGATTTTCCCTAAAAGATGCTCAGGACGAGGCTAAAATCAAGCAAAGGCTGCATCCTCTGGCTGGCCACGGGCCATCCTCCCATCAATCAGATTCAGTTTATGAATTACTTTACTTAGCCATTCCAGGTCTCCCTGCCCGTTAGAGCCTGTGGACCCGAGGGTATCTCCTGAAATGAGCTCTTCCACGCTGCTGTCTCACGCAGCAGGCAGGCGCTACTGGTAGGAGGTAGGGTGAGAGGGTTCAGGACAGTCAGAGCCTGGATTGGAGGTCAGCAGTGATGCCCCTAACGACCTACAGTATGTTCATGCCCAGGACACAAGGGTGCACACGGGGCTGACTGTGTCCAAAAAGGATTCAGTCCAACTCAGTGAGGGGACAGGCAGCTCGGAGGCCCCAGGAGGCCTCATCACGATGAGTGCCCTTGGACCCGACAAACACCCCACCCACAGGCCTGCCACAGGCCTGGATGGAAGACACGGGAGAGGCTGTGGAGCCGTCCCTCAGGAGGCCCTCCTCAGAATCCCCCGTGTCCCTGGACGTGGCATTTGCTGGCCCCAGTGACCACCTGGTGGAGGGGAAGGAGGAAGCAGATGTAACTCCCTCCAATTTGCTGCCATCGGCTCAAGTCCATCGTGGCTGTGACTGAACTCACCCTTCTCCCCCAAGAACCGGCTCCTTGTACCAAATACCTTAAAACCCAACGTCAAACCCGAGGTCAACCCAATTCCCATCTCCCCTGCCAGTCACCACGCCCCGCGGCTCACCCAGTCTTTCTTCTACATCTCCCTCCGGTCATTACTGCGGCACAGCCCCAGAGCTCACTCTGATTTTTACCAGAGAGTTTGCCTCAGTTTCCCGGCCATCAGCCCCTCTTTCCACGACTTCGCCTGGCACGCTGCTACCAGGCTGTCTCATCAGGCACAGCTTTTATCACCTTTAACTGCTCGTAGTTAAGGTTCCCACCAAGGCAGACAGCAAGACGCTTAGGTTCATTCTTTATCCCACGGCGGTGGGGGAGTGAGCTGGGGAGCCAGAGGAGCCTGCACGGCGCACGGAGGAAGGGACTGCCACTGTGGGCACCTGGCTGGGCCCTGTGGGCAGGGAAGCTGCCAGAACACCTGTCAGAACCGCCCACCTGCATGCCCCTGGCGGAGGCTGCCCCTCAGAGCATATTCCCGACCAGCAGGCCCGCCAGCCTGCAGCGCCCAGGGGACCTCCGGGCGGGGAGGACAGCGGAGGGCTGTGGAGCTGTCCAGCAAGGCTGCCGTGAACTCTGGGTGGTGGGCCATGAGCACGCAGGGCAGGGCGTCAGCAGCAACTCCCCGGCGGCTCGGCGTCTGCAGGAGGAAGTCCTCCCTCCCCGGGCTGGCCTTCTGAGAGGGCTGCAGGATGCCCGGGAAAACTGCCCACCTGCCCACCACTGTCAGCTAACAACAGACAGTATAAGTTACCTCAAACGGTGCACTCACCTACTAAAAAGTTGTTCACTGTGTAGCTAAGATTCCACTTTAACTGGACGCTTGGCATTTTTATTTGCTAAATCTGGCAACCCCACTTCCAGGCCCTCCTTGATCTGGCCTCAGTCTCTTTCTGATTTCTCTGAATCTGAAATCCTTCCCCCCATGCTAAGGGGCTCTTCACTGCCAGCCCCCGAGCCCAGGGGGGTGCTCAAGCTGGTTCCCTGTCAGGAGCAGCCCCTGGCTTCTCCCATGTGTCTCCTCCTGCCACCATCTCTGGGTCTAATCTCTATGTCACCTCGCTTTGCCCTCCCTGCTGACTGCAGGTACCGCCTGCACCTGGGGTCATCTGCAAGCATCCGTCTTAGTTTCCGTTAGATCGTAATGCTCACCCAGCTCAGCAGGATGATCAAAATGCCCTGGTCCCACCAGCAGACGCAAGCCCTGGGAGGGTGAAGACAGAACCCTCCCGTTCACCCCTGGATTTCGCATGAGCCCTGAAACAACTGAGTAAGTAGTACTTTGGGTCAGGGCTGGCTCGTGTCAAGAACACTGTCTAAAGCAGCCAAAGTCATTGCCAGTAGCAGGAAAGGTGGCCAAAGTACCCCAACTGTATGACGGTTTTTCCACATTCACTGCCTTTCCTCTCAGTCCCTTTCCGGGCCTGGATTTTGTCCGTCACCCCAACCCCCACCCCCAGCGCCCAGGCACATACTCCAGGCCGCACTTAGGATGGGTCCTGCCATCAGCCTCAGCACAACATGGCCTGTCCGGTGGGCAGTGTCAGTTCTGCTCTCCCCTCCCCTCCCAAGTCAAGTGATCTGATGCGGATGCAATCGCTAGACGTTTATATAACACTTGACATTTGTAAGCGCTTTCCCATGAATTATTTCATTGGAGCATCACTGTAATGTAGGCAACAAATTATCTCTGTGTGACACCGAGTGGTTAAGTGGCTGACTTAAGTGATCATGCTCTGGGAAGGTTTGTATCACTAATGTGTAACTTTTCACTTATAAAGATGTGGTAAAGATGTTTTTGCATTAGCAACGTACACAGAGTGTTTCATTTCCAAATAGAATGCTTATGAAAAGGAATGCTTATTTGTGCATATCTGTGGTCACATGACAGCCCGGGGTCCAGTCACCTGCTCAGGGAGCCTCCCCGGGCAGGGAGGACTGGCCGCCTCATCTCACTTCAAGCTGCTCCCCAAATCCCGGTCAGATGTCTGGGGTCAGCGCCCCAGACTCTACCCTCCCTCGTCCAAACGTTTTGTACACAGAGACCTGAAAGGAGCTGTGTTCAACAAACTCCGGAGGAAAGTACCTAATGGGGTTCGCAGGGGAAAGTGGGTGCCGGCCACACCCCAGCCCCGCCCTGTCGCTGTCAGGAATGCTTGTCCTCCATCAAGTGGCAGAGGCAGCTCACTGAGCTCTCACCCAGAGCCCAAGACCTGCCACTGGACTGAAAACAACGTTGCATTCTCCCTGGAGCCCCGCGCTGTGTGTGCACACTCACTCACTGTGGTGGCGCTGGGCGTGACTCAGCTGGAGGTTTCCACCCCCGGACTCCCCCTGGGGAGGCTGGGCAGGCCTGCGGGGGGGGCTGGGGAGGAGTGAGGAGGGCAAGAGACCGCGGGCTACCTAGGCAGGCAGACCTGGGGGGCGGGAAGGGGGGGGGGGGAGGCGCACACCCCAACCGCCTTCCCTTCTGCTGGGCAAAGTCAAGCCGCAGCCTGATCGAAGTCGCCAAAGTCCGGGCTGGGCTGCCCGCGTGGCCGGGGCTGAGGCGCACGCTTTAGGAATCGCTGAACCCCCAAAAGCCCGAAATGTGCTGGCGGAGAGGGCTGGCGAAGGGAATGGCTGCAGAGAAGGTCCCTGCCCCCCGTCCAGAGACACGCAGAGGGAAATTGGGGAGGAAAGAGGTCCCTTTGAGGGCGCAGCCACACAGCACCCCCGCTCCCCCGCGCTGTCCCCACCCACTGCCCCTCCCCGCCGTCCCCACGTCCGCGCCCGGCTCCGCCTCCCGGAGCGCAGTCCACACCGTCCTTCTCCGACAAAACAACACCGCGCACCCCTCCCGCCCGCGGGGCGAGCCTACGCCCAGCCCGCCGGCCCGCCCGGAGCCGCTCCGTCCCTCGCCTCCGCCCCGCCCCTCGCCCCCGCCCCCGCCCCGCACGCCCGGCGAGCCCGGCTGCACCGGGAGAGACAGAGCCGATCGGCGCCCCGCTCCCCCCGCCGGCGGCCGGAGGGTGGGAGGGCCCGGGGGGGGTATGGGGGAGGGAGCCCGGGGCACGCAGGGCGCGGCGGCCTGTTAACCGCTTCGTGGCCGGCGGCGGGCGCGCGCGGGACGCGGACTCACCGGGATGAGCACCCGCAGCGAGCGCCTCTTCGGGCCGGGGTTCCTCCTGCCGCTGCCGCCCGGGCTGGGCACATCCTTCTTCTTCTTGGCGTCCATGGCCGCGCTTCCCATAACTTTACCCACAAGTTAATCCCGGGCGCCTCGCTCCCGGAACACGGTCCTCTCCCGCCCAGCCCGGGCCTGCCGGCGGCCTCGGACTGCGCGCCCGGCACCACCGTCCTCCCCGCGGAGACCCGCGCGGGGCCGGCGCGGAGGGCGGGGGAGCAGGTACCGCCGCCGCCGCGGAGGACGGCGGGCGGGCGGCGGAGCGCCGGGCCGGTTCCTCTTCCTCCCGCGGGCTCCGCAGGCGCCGGATCGCGGCCACGCCGTCCGGTGCCGGTGTCTCCCGCGTGGCGCGTGGCGCGCGTCTCCAGCCGGAGACAAAGTTTTCTTCCTTTTGCAAAGGGAGCAGCGCTGCCACCCCGGCTCCGCCCACCGGTCCCAGAGGCGGTGCAGGGCAGGTGCACTGACCCCGCGCTCTGGCAACGCGCGCCTCGGCCCGCGCCCCGCGGGGACTCCGGCGAGGGCGCGAGTGTGTGCGAACCTGACCCTGGGCCGCGGCACACCGGCCGGAGCCGGAGCCGGAGCCCGGAGCGGGGCGTCCCCCGGCGCTGGGAGGGGGGAGGGGAGAGGAGGCGCAGACGCGGCTGTCGCGTGGGGCTCGGGCTCGGTGGCGAGCACAGGCTGCGGTGCCGGCCCTGCGGGCAGAGGGGCGCGGGCCCGGGGCGGGGAGGGGCGCGGGCGGCGGGGGCGGCGGACGGCGGCACCAACAGGAAGTGCGCGCCATGCGCTCCGGCGCTGCCCCCGCGCCCGCCGCGTGCCAGGCGGGCACGGGCTCCCTCCCCCGCGCCCGGGCCGCGGGTCCCGCTGCTTTCGGCCGGGGCGTGCGGTCCGGCGACTGTGCCGGCGCCGGAGCCCCCGGGGCCCACGCCCTGGGCCCGCAGACCCGCCGCAGCGGAAGCGCCGGCCCCGGTGGATGCGCATCGCGGCGGCGCGGGCGGCGGGTTCCCAGGCTGCGCCCCCCAGCTGACCCTCCCCCCACGCCTGCTCTCTCCGGAGGCCAGGGGTGCGCGGTGGGTCCGCGGTGAGGGTCCCGGGGCTCCCGCAGCCCGCGGCCCGGACACGCGGGGTCCCCAGCCCGCGGCCAGAAGCGGGTGCGGAGGTCCCCCCGCGCCGCCGCGGTCCTGGAGAGCCCCCGCCTCCCATGCTGCCCGCCGGGCCGGGGCCGAGGGGTTCGCACCCCGCACCCCGCAGGGCGCGACCTCGGCCCGGCTGGAAGCGCTAGTGCTGAGGACCAGGGCCCCCAAAGTCTCTCCAGCGCCTCGAATGCTGACGTCAGCCTGCCGCGCCCCGTCATCAGTCAGGCGGGAGGCCGCGGAGAAAACACAGGTCGCTTTGGGAGCACCTGGGCGACCAGTGAGGGACACCCCTCAGATGGCTCCCCCACCCCCCGCCGCTAGGGCACCCCGTTCCAGCCATCTTTCCAGCCGCCCTTCCCATCCCAGGTCCCAGCGTCTAGTTGAGAGCCCCCACAGCCTGGGTGGCTCACAGGGGCGGGGTGCAGGGGGGTTTGTCCTCCGGCCCTGCTCTCCAAACCCTGAGTGAAGCCAGGCCGGAACGGCGGGGTCTGAGCGAAGCCTGGTGACAGAAGTCCCAGCTCGAGGAGGGGGGTCTGGGTGCAGGAACCGGGTGGCCTGTGGCCCCTAGCTGTGGAATTCCTGCTTTGATTTTTTTCTGTATTTTATTATTATTTTTTTTTTAGGAAGGGATATATGCACCCCTATGCTATGACTTTTTAAAATATATATATATATATTATTGATTTTGTACAGAGAGGAAGGAAGAGAGATACAGAGCTAGAAACATCGATGAGAGAGTCATCGACCAGCTGCCTCTTGCACACCCCCACTGGGGAGTACATGCCCTTGACGGGAATCGAACCCGGGACCATTCAGTCCCCAAGCCGATGCTCTATCCATTGAGCCAAATCGGTTTCGGCAATGCTATGACTTTTTTCTGACTGCCTGTGTGTTGGGCAGGGGTGGGCGGCGGGGGAGGGGGGGGGAAGGGGCGAGGGGGGGGGCGTGATAGACCGCATTGTTCCATTAGATGCTGGGAGCCCGGCTTAGGAGCAGACAGGGGCTGGCCTTGAGCCTAAGCTTGGGGCTTAAAGGAGGGACGGAGCCCACCTTCACTCAGCATTAAACTGCGCTTAAGGTTCATGGCTTCAGCTAGGAAGTGTCACAGTGGTGATGTGCCAGGTGTGCATTTCCCAGCAATGGATGCGAACAGGTTTTGAAAGGGAAGAGGGAGCGGTAGGATGGCACAGGTCACAGGGAATTCAAGAGGAGCCCTTGGGAAGGTCCCCTGGGGGAGGGCTCAGAGGCAGGCAGTTTGTTTTCCTGCTGCCCCTTTGCCCAGGGCCCGTCAGGCCTGGTGGGAGGGGGGCCTGGCGATTGTTATAATGCGTACTTTGTCAGCTGACTTGTGTAAGTGTGCTCATGCATTCATTAATAAAACTAATTTGTTCTCTGAGTTTATTTTGTTGGGATGTGGATTTTAGTGCCTGGAAATCTTAAGTCAAAACATTTTAACAAATATCTTTTTGTTGTTGTTGTTGTTTTACATGTTAATTTTTTTTTAAGAAAAATATGGGTGTTTCTTCTGTGGTACCAAAAGAAGCTTACCAGCCACCTTTTCTATTGGAAAGAGATTAATACATTGATCATATATTTTCCCACCAATGGGGTCTTACAAGGGAGGAACAGTGTTTTGCTTTGGGTTCTCTTTGAACCCCCTCTTCACCTCCACCTCTCAGCCCACACAGGTATTTTAGCCAGTAACTAAGCATGGCGTGCCCAAGCAACAGTGTCAATATAATGGCCCCACCATGGTTTTGGAATGCCCTGACCTGTAACTTCCTTCTCAAACATAATGCTATAAAACCTACACGAACAGCATGTCAACAGTTTAGTTGAAGACTGCATTGCTGGCTTTGTTTTTTTGCCTCAGGTTCCAATAGTGCTCAGCTGAGCATTGTTACTGATCCTGTCTTTATGAAAAAAAAATGTGATTTGGGGGAGTGTAAAATAAAGTTTATATATAAATGTTTGTCTTTCTCTCTAAGAATAAAGCAGAGGCTCTTAGTGGTCACCAAATACCTATGTGATCCCCTCCACTTTTCAGTGCCCTGGCAGTCAGGATAGGAATATACAACTAATTCTGGCCCATGAGATGTGAATAGACTCAGAGTGTTATTACTTCCGGGTCAAGCAGTGAAGAATTGATGTGTCTCCTCACTTTCCTTCCCTCTGCTGCCATGATCTCGGAGGCCATGTGCTGCGGATGGCATTCGGTGAGAGAGAGCAGGACAACTCCTACCACATTGTACTTGGGTTGGGTTACACCACTGAGATTTTGATAATTATTTATACAGCATAACCTTGCCGATAAGAAATGATACACTGAGCCTAGTTGGCATGGCTCGGTGGTTGGGCATCGGCTCATGAACCGGGAGATCACAGACAAACCGGGAGGTCATGGTCTGATTCCCGGTTGGCGCAAGTGCCCGGGTTGCAGCCTCAATCCACGGTGTGGGGAGGCAGCCAATGGATGATTCTATCTCGTCTTTGATGTTTCTGTCTCTCCCTTCCTTTCTGAAATCAATAAAAAGATTTTTTTTTAAAAGGAGTATTGCACTGAGATAGTATTTATCTTGATAGCTGAATTTTCTTGTGCTCCCTTCAATTTTATACCCAGGACAAGTGCCTCATTTGCCTCAGCTTGCTGTGTGGCTCTGTCCAGGTTGATGGAAGGGTGAGTAACAGAGGTGGGCCAGGGCTGTGGGCGGTCCTGGGAACCAGCTTGCCTATGTTAGGAGTACGACTGGAGTCCCACCCTGGCACTGCCACTGGTCTGCTAGGGGACCCTAACCCTAACCTGCTCCCCATCTCTAAGGGGAGTAAGATGGCCTGGAGAAGATTTCCCAGGCCTGTGCAATGGGGCATGTGTTCTACCCTGGTTATACTTGGTTTGTCTTCATTAATTGTGTTTCTTTAGTAATCCCTTTTATATTGAACATTACAAAAGTTCATGAATTGAGAATTAAAAATACAGAAGGAAACAGAAGATCCCAGACCTTCATTGAGATGGTTTAGGTCATTGCTTCTCAGCAAAGATGCTTCCATTTGGAGTGTCATCTGTCTAGGCTGGTAATAATGAAATGCCAGGCATCATATTAGGTCATTCATATTATCTTACCTCCTTCCTATGAAAATACCTTAAGAGAATTACCGTAGTCATTTTTAAGATAGGAAAACTAAGACCTAGTTGTTAGAGTTTATTCGTACTCCTTTAACTTCTGTCCATTGATCTTAATTCACTGTACCCCCTGAAAAGACATTTTAAAGCACACACACACACACACACCCTGGTTGTAAAAGCGTTGCACAAGGCTAACAATACTGTTTAGGAAAACCATGTAGGGTGACCTTGGACAAACTATTCACCATCCTTGCTGCCTTGGCTCTGCCTATGACACAGAGCTGGGGGAGAGCAGTGATCTGTGTAGTCAGGAAGGCAGTGGCTCAATTCTGTGCAACAAGCAATTCTTAGAAAAATGAAACAACAGGAGTCTGGACTCAGGACTCTGCCAGTGCTTGGATAACTCGGACACGGAGCAAAGGGAGTGTTATCTAATCGTGCAAACCAGGGCTAAGAGTCATTCCAGTTTTTATTTTCCTCCAAGTTGGGCACAGATTGCATAACCTCGGGCAGCGTTTGCACCCTGGTGCACGTGGAACGAGTAATATCGATCCCACAGAGACAGAGGCGAGCGCTCAGGACCCGCTGGGAGGGCTGCCTTGGGACAGCACGGCTCTTCACCGCTCTTCCCCAGGACCCTGTGGGTTTCTAGTGGGGCCGTGCCAGCCACCTCTCTGTCTGTTCAATGTTCCCATCCATAACCACTAGGCCATCCTGATCATTGGATCCAAGAAGCCCTTTGGATGAAGGTAAGGTAACCCTGTGGCAATAATCTCCCAAGGGACACTGCTGCTGACACCTTTTCTCCA